CCCAGCTACTTGGGAGGCTGAGGCAAGAGAATCGCTTAAGCCCAAGAGTTGGAGGTTGCTGTCAGCTGTGACACCAAGGCACTCTACCGAGGGTGATAAAGTGAGACTGTCTCAAAAAAAAAAAAAATTTAGTTTGCATCATAGATATAAATTTCTCTGTTCCTCTCACTTGAACAGCATGTTACCAAGCAACATTGTGAACAGTGGTTTGCAAGTCCTCAACTGTATAACCAATATGTAGGGATTATGATAATGAAATATAATCCTGGATGATGAAAAGCATTTCACTAGGAAGGAAGGAATTTCCATGAGAGCAGATTTTGTCTATTGCTGTCACTAGCGTCTAGAACAGGGCCTGACAGGTATGTGCTAAATTCTTCTGTTCCTCCCCGTGGAAAAGGCCTGGGACACAGCACTTTCCAATCTACCCAGAACCCCTCTTGCTCTTCCTAGGTTGGAAACGTAGACCCATTTTTGCCTCCTCCGGGGCTGTAGACGGTGTACTGTCCAGTCCAACGTACCTTAACAAAAGCTGGCTGATCCCCAAATGCTCATGGCCAGGCTGCTTCTTGCCCCCCGACAGGTACCCTCCTCCTTCTGTATTCCCTCATTCCTTCCCGATGCGGACACAGTTGTGTGCCCCGTGCGCAGTGCGCGCAGCTTATAGCGCCTCAGCCCCTGGGCCTGGTACCCGAAGACAATGGTGGTCAGAGGGGAGATGGCTATCGGCTGCCCCGCAACATTCTTCGTGCCACGTGGCTTCTGTAGGCTGCAGTACCGCCTGAGAAGCCAGGATAGAAATCCCAGCTCCCTTCTGAAATGAGGGGATTACAGATAGATGTGGCGAGCGGCCGTGTCCCAAAGCCCCTTACCTGGTCCTGGGAAGAACAACTAAGACAACTGCCACCAGACGTAGCCAGCGTTGGAAGCCAGGTCAGATTGCACTGAAACGCTGGGACCTGGGGACTGCCCTCCTCGTCCCCGCACACCCCTTCTTCCTGACCAATCACAGGCCAGGAAGCTCCCGCCAGCCACGTGGGAGAACTTTCACCAATCCCCGGGTCCGAACTAGCAGGAGCCGCCTCCAGCCTCCCTGCCGCCCGGCGGCCCGCCTGCGCATTAGGAGGGCACTTTGGCGCGCTTGCGCACTTGGGGGAAAGCGCCGCTGGACCCCGCCCCATACCGCTGCTTTGCTCCTCCGCTGTGGGAGCGAGGGACGTCGGGGGCGGTGCCGCTGCAGTTGCCCCTGGTAACGGGGGAGGCAGCAGCAGCTGCTGCTGCAGAGGAGGAGGAGGAGGAGGAGGAGGGATTCGGCGGGAGGATGGTGAGTGTGGTGGCCCAGGCCCCTTTGGAGCCGGCCGGTCACTCCCTCTCGTCCCCAGACCCAGGGCGGGGCACTGCGCTTAAAGCCAAAGAGTGAATGGGAAGGCGCTCTGCCTGCTGTTTGGGTTCTGAACTGGTTTTGGGGGGCGACAGGGAACCCCGGGGGTGGGCCCTGGAGGGGAGCTTGGGCCTGGAGTGGAAGGAGGGGCTTCCGACGAGTCCGAGACTTGGGGAAAGGGCCGGCCGAGAGGGTGGCTGGCCTCATACCTATCCCGGGTTCCATCATTACTCTGGGGACAGGGATGAGGGCGGATCCGAGGAGCTGTAGAGAGAGGCCTTCGCACGCAGGCTTAGATCTTCCCAGGGAATCGGCCTTCCTGCCCTGCAGGAAAGTAGGGTCCACCTGAGATCTGACCAAGACACGTCAAGAAGAGCCAGAGCTAGTCTTTGAGGTCGCCCTGGCGGTAGCAAGGGAGATGGTAGCCTAGTTGTCTTTGGGTCCCTGGGGAGCAGGGAAGTAAGTCCCAGGACACAAAGAGGTGCCTTTTGGAAAGGATGCCTAGAGATTTATGGCTTCTTGGTGTGTGCGTGGAGGGTGCGCTTCTGCAGTCCTGAGTTATTCATTTGCTGAGAGTTTTGCAATACCCTAGTTTATTGGTAATGACCGATTTTTTGGTCAATATCTAATCCATGTTGCTGAAGGCAAATTAGCTGCTTGGTCCTTCGAAACCTTTTGCTACCTCATTTTGCATGTAACCAACCCAGACCAAAGGTCTTAACCCCAGCTTGGGGTCTCCAAACTAAAAGGAATGAGATATTAAAACTGGAGCGTGGGCATCAATTTAGGGGAGCCGTAATTAAAGCTTTCCCAAACTGTAAATTATGGTTGTGACAGATCTAACCATTGACAGAGTTCCTTGTGGACTTCTGTGCAGTTGGTTGGAGGGGATTATAGTAGAATTAAATAATTTTAGAGGTTAAAACAATCGATTTTGAAGCATTTAGAACAGGTTGGTTGGTTTACCAACTGCAGAGAGCCTGTGGTCAGACTTACAGTTTGCCTCACCTCATTCCCTAGTTCCTTTTTGACATTTATTTATTTATTTATTTATTGACAAAGTCTCACTATGTTACCTTTGGTAGAGTGCTCTGGCATCACAGCTCACAGCAACCTCAAACTCTTGGGCTCAAGTGATTCTCTTGCCTAAGCCTTCCAAGTAGCTGGGACTACAGGGCCCCCCCCCACAACACCTGTCTATTTTTTGTTGGTTTGTTTAGTGGGCCAAGTTCTAACCCACCAGCCCCAGTGCATGTGGTCAGCGCCCTAACCGCTGAGCTTCAGCGCGGAGCCACTTTTTGACTTTTAAAAATGTTGAACCACTTCTGTTGATTTAAGAAGAAAAAATTAGATGCCCAAGAGGAAAAAAAGGCATGTACCTTTGATTGGGTTATCCAATGAGTAGATTTTGATGGAGCGGATCTCTATTGGCTTTACATCATTACATTGTTAAAGTAATAGGATTATTTGATCTGAAGTTGCCAGTCACAGTCACACGTGCTACATTTGCAATTTTTTTATTAACCTCAGGCTAGACAGATTGTTACAAGTGCTTCTTTTTCTTAATCATTTGTACATGAGCTGTCCAATTAAAGGCTAAATTTTTCTCAACAAATGAGTACAAACTTAAATATTTACATGGGAAACATCTAGAACTGAAATGAAAAAAGTGTGCCAAACCAACAGAGAATGAGATTTGTCCTTATAGATGAGAAATGCATGAGAGTTGGCTAACTTTTCCCAGTTTGTTTATCAATTTAGTGGACTGTGTGATTTCATGATTGTATAATTTATAATTACAGGCCACAATAAATTAACCACCACTCATGTTCCAGGTGCAGATGGTACCATATACAACTAATTGACAGTATATGTACAATATTATTGTATACAACTGTTGTAGTCACTGATCAAAACAGAGTTTGTAGGGTGGTGCCTGTGGCTCAGTGAGTAGGGCGCCAGCCCCATATACCAGAGGTAGCAGGTTCAAACCCAGCCCTAGCAAAAAACTGAAAAAAAAAAAAAAAAAAGACTTGTTCTGAGCCTTCTGCCTAAGGATTCATGTATTCATAATAAAAACATCTTTAAAAAAAAACAGTTTTTAAAAAAAAAAAAAAAAACAGAGTTTGTTTTTCTTTTTTCTTTTTCTTTCTTTCTTTTTTTTTTTTTTGCATTTTTTCGCCAGGACTGGGTTTGAACCCGCTACCTCCAGCATATGGGGCCAGTGCCCTACTCCTCTGAGCCACAGGTGCCACCCCAGAGTTTGTTTTTCTTTTTTTCCTTAAATAAATGAATTATTCTGGATTCTTTAGTTTCCCAAATACATTTTTTCTATCTCCAAAAGTGTGAGCTATTCTTAGAACTATAAATGGAATGCTGAATTTAAATGGTCATTGGTGTGATTAAATGTGTCACATCTGCTGTCCCGTGAGCCTTCATGGTTAACTGTACAACTGAAGAGTGAGCCCAGTATTTTTTTTTACTTTTATTTTAAACTTCAACTGTGACTAATATATTTTTAAAAACTTGAGTAAGTGAAAAAAAATCCACTGTGGGTTTCCCTGAACATTTAGGGTCTAGGGTCAGCTGTTTTACCCCTGCTTTACAATAACAAGTCCTTGATGAAATACTAACTTGGCAATAATTTTAGCACTGTCATTTAATATATGGCTTTCATTCAGTAATTATTTATGGATACTTCCTGCATATTTGGAGTTTGTTGTAGTTATGAAGTATGTTCAACATTTTTTTTTTTTTGAGACAAAGCCTCAAGCTGTCCCCCTGGGTAGAATGCCGTGGCTTTACAGCTCACAGCAACCTCCAACTCCTGGGCTCAAGCGAGTCTCCTGCCTCC